AGGGAGGGAGGGAGGGAGGGAGAAAGCGTGTGGACCAGCAGCTGTTTGTGTTAACATCGAGCAATGAGGAGGCTCAGCTGTGACTTGGAAGCTTCTTCCTGCAGAAAATGAAGATGCACAAGAGGTTTCTGGAGCTGCAAGGAGCGCTCGGAGTCTTCGAGGTCCGCAGACGTCTCCCCCTTCTCTCCTTTATGTTCTTTACGTTTGCACCCCCTATGTCTCTCATCCACCTGGCCTGCAAAGTTTCGCTCCTCTCCTCTCAACTCACATCTGCGTTTAGAAAGAGACACGAAATGCGGAGGACTACAGCCCGGCCAAGGTCGTGCAGCTCCTGTCGTGATGTGGAATGACGCTGCATGCTCAGCAACAAATCATCAAGGAGAGGATACACAACCTCGAAGTCTGCAGATTGTCGTGGGATCAGAACATGAGACCTGACATGTTCCCAGGTTGAACTCATGCAAGAGACAGACAAGTACTTGTACGCTGTGAGTTACGATGTTGCTTCCTGACCGTTGTCTCACTTGGTTGAGCAGGTGGGAGGAGTAAGGAGCAGGCGACCGATGGATAAGACGCTGGTGAGGAGAGCGGAGCTGAAAAGAAGGAGGGACAAGAGCGCGTGAAATATCGCAACGCAGGGAGGACAGGAAGAGCAGAAAGAGCAGGGGCAGCAGGAGCAGGGAAAGGTGTATGTTGGTGGTGGTGATGGTATCTTTAGGAGATGGAGGTGGATGGAGCGGGAAAGAGTGGAGACACAGGATGGAAGTCAAAGAAGTCGGAGAGGGAGGGGAAGGTGGCCGGGAGGTAGAGGAGGAGGAGGTAGAGGAGGCAAGTCTGCAGAAGGCAGGAGCAAGAAATTTGATGAGGATCGCAGGGGAGGGTGGAGTCTATGGAGATAGAGAAGCATGTCAAGGAAGAAAGGACTATTATCCCTCGAGCAGTGCACACTTCTATGCCGGGATGGACAATGGTGAACCAATCTGCTGCCTCCTCCTGCCTCCTCGTCCTCTCCCTTCCTCTCTTCCGCTTCCAATCCTTCCCGTCTTCCAATCCGTACTTTTCCTCCACCTTCACCTTCATAAACCCCTACTATTCTCTTTCTTCTCCTCTACTTCTCTTTCACCTCTCTCCCTGCTGCGTGTCTTCCTTTCCAGCTCAACTTCGTGGGCAGGACGAGGAGCCTCTCTCTTGGGCTCGGGTGTCTGCGGGATTAGCTGTCGCGCACTACAGGACGTATGTCGTCGGCGGGTGAGGAGCTGAGAAAGTGCTTGTCAACCAGCTGGGGATGACTTCCTTCATCCACTAGGTACGACGTGATAAGGAACAGGACCTCGCACATCGTTGAGAGCATGGGTACTGCTCTCCTCCTCCCCACCCCCCCCTCTCCTCCTCCTGCTGTTCTCCCTTCCTCTCTCCCTTCCTTCTCCTCCTCCTCCTCCTCCTGCTGTTCTCCCTTCCTCTCTCCCTTCCTCTCCCTCCTCCTCATGACCCTCCGATCACCTGGATCTGAGGTGACTGCAGATCCCTTCGGCGTCTGCTGGAGGAGGGAGGCTGACCTGCCCGGCTGCTGGATGAACGTCGCATGCGGCACGCTGGTGGGCTAGTTTGCAGCTTGACCTGCCCTCACACCATGCCAGGAGGATCGACTGTACGCGGCGGGGGGAAGGAACTTTGAGAACGGTTGGTGGTTGACAAGGTCCCTTCTCAGCTCACCTGCTGGGCTTGTAGCGAGCGTGTCCTCCGACATGTCAAGTTACGACTACGAGTCAAACTCGTGGCGGCCAGAAACTTCACTCCCCTCTCCTCGGTCAGCCTCAGCTGCCAGTACAGCAGCAGCGAGCTGAGAAAACGCAGGTGGGGAGGGGCGATGATCGCCCACGACGGCAGGCTCTACTACATGGGAGGGTCCGACGGAGAAGAAGTGCATTCCAACATGTGGAGCTGGAACTCAAGGTGCTGCTGCTGCTCCTCCTCCTCCTCCTCCTGCTCCTCCTCCTCCTGCTCCTCCTCCTCCTGCTCCATAAAATCATGCTTCATGTTTCTCCTGGCCCTTCCAATCTCCTCACCTCCACATAGCGACAAGACCTGGAGAGAAGAGCCGCCAATGCAGCGAAGAAGGTGGAGGGAGAGTCTACAGCAGCTGCGAGATTCATTCTTGACAGGTGCGAGATGACGGCAGTGGTGCTGAGCGATGGCATCCTGGTTGTCGGAGGGCACGAGGACTCGTCGATAGGGAGGGAGGGAAGTTGCGGGAAGGTGCGGAGGGAGGAGGAGAATCCTTCCCCTCCCACCGTGCACAAAAGCGTCGAGTACTTTGACTTCCGGACGAGGAAGTGGCGGTCGGAGCGACCCTTGCGCGAGGAGCGTTATGCTCATGGCGGTTGGTTACTGTGTGCTCTCCTCCTCCTCCTCCTCCTCCTACCCCCCCCCCCCCCTTAGACTTGCTCGTTATACGCTGACTTTGCGTTTTCAGCTGCTGCCTTGGGCGCGAGAGTCTTCGTTGTCGGGGGATCGAACTCTCTTGGCCAGTGGCAGGTGCGGGTGGAAGCGGAGGGAGGGAGAGACTGACTGTCGCTGTCTCTTCCGGCAGAAGAGCGTCCTTAGTCTGTCCTTGGGCGATAAATACTGGCGAGAGGTCGTCTCCTCCTCTCTCTCTCTCTCTCCTCCTCCTCTCCTCCCCTCCCACCTCCCTGCCGTTCCCTCACCGACCAGGACCTTTACTTCTCCCTTCCTTCCTCTTCGTTTCCTCATTTGTGGGACCTGCAGGAGCCGAGCATGGTGCGCGAGCGCAAGGGGCTTGTGGTATATAATTCTTTACCTCCACTTCGTGTGTTGCTCTTTGGCTCTCCTCCTCTCTCTCCCTTCTCTTCCTCCCCCTCCCGTGTCCTCCTCCCTTTTCCTCCTCCTCCTTCGTCTACTTATCTCTCTTGGGTTTCCGCAGGCGCACGTCATGCATCGCCCGACGCAGCTGCGAGGAATCCCTGGACCGACTTCTACCGAGTCGGAGTAGGAGAGGACAGGAGGCAACGGACGTGGGCCTGCAGTATGGCAGCAGACTGAGCCCGCTGGGGGAAAAAGTCAGAGACAGCAGTCAACGGCAGAGCAGCAAGACGGGGAGCAGTGAAGGAGGAACGAGCTGTCGGGTCTTCCTGAGAAGGGAGGCAGGAAAGGGGACAAAGGCGAGGAGAAGAAGATGTGAAGCAGGCAGATGGGAAGGAGGGGGCGGAAGAGGAGGTGGAGGAGGAGGAGAGCGAACGTTACCTGGGACCGGAGGGCCTTCACTATAGCAGCCGGTCGTTTGGAGTACCACTGGATCGCATCCTTCCCCTTCAGCTTCCCATTCCTGAGCCGCTCGAGCAGTCCAGCGGCGCTGCAGCACGATGATGAGCCGAGCGAGGAGGAGAAGGAGGAGGGGAGAGGAGACGAGCCGGCACAGGTAGAGGCAGCCAGAGCAAGTGGACAAGGACAGGGGAGGGGAAAGTTGGGGGAGCACCTGTTGGGACGGGGGAGTCGCTTCTTCTGTTGGAGGGACTCAATGGCGGCGAGGATCTCGGCAAGCAGTTGGCGGTGGTCCATACGGGTCACGGTCTCCAGCTCCTTCCCAGCTGCTTGGCAGGCGTCAGAGCTCACTGACCAGGTGGCGGCCGATGGCAGACCGCAGAGAGCTGGAGACTCGACGGCAACCCCAGCATCTTTCAGCTGGGGTTGGTTCTGGGGCTCGTCTAGTTTGGCATCCTGTGCTGCTGCCTCGCCCTTCCCTCGCGTCTCCTCGCCACCTGCCCCAGGGCCCTGGGATGGCGGGTGAGCTGCAGATGCCTGGAGGCTGCGCAGTGGCGCATTCCAGGAGATGACGGAAGGGAGGGAGGAGAAGAGAGAAAGAGAGGGAGGAGCAGAGACAGGTGCAGCCGAGCTCGCCGCACCCTCCCGTTGGCCTCCGTTCGCTTCCTCCGAGGAGGATTCAGCAGGATCAGCAAGAATGACTGAGAGGGATCGAGGAAACGGCAGCACTTCCTCCGGCGTCTCTCCATCCTTCTGCGGCGATCTGCTGGGAGATTGATAGCCCTCGCTGCGGGAAGTGCGGCAAGGTGAAGGACGCTGCTTGAGGACCTGATGGAAGTAGCTCTTGCGTTCCTGCAGGAAGTCATTGGGGGTGCAGCTGATGACGAGGATGAGAGTGTGTGTGATGGGGGGGAATGACTGTGAAAGCGGCGCAACGGAGGGAGAAAGTAAAGAGATCAGTTGGCGAGGATGCTTACCTTCCGCTCCGTTGACTTCAGTTTCAACAGCTTGTCAAAATCGGTTTCCTTGACGTCCCTAAAGAGAAACTCGAGGGCCGGAGTGGTGGCTATCCCTTGGTCGACAAACTTCCCACGGACCAGCTCGGGTCCAGCTGACGACATAAGAGAGTGGCAGAGCTGGAAGGATTTCTTGAGCTCTTCGAGATTTGTAACATCTGAAGATGAAAAGAGAAACTCATCCAGCTGAGATTGAAAATTATGAAAGGAAGAAAGGAAGAGTTGAAAATCAAAGACATGATCCTGTGACATGCAAAGCTCCTCAAATCCACCACCCTCATCAGTGACTGAAGAATTTGATCTGGCAGGCTTCCCAGCTGAATCAAACAAAAGACCTTGCGATGATTTGATTTCTCCCGATCCCTCGTTAGCCCACCCGCCCTCCCCGGAGGCGGCCTGCCCCGCCGCCTTGGCCTCCTTGGCCTTCCTCGCCCGCTCCCGTCCTGCCATGCCCCTCGACCGCGCCTGGATGCGTACCGCCGCCTCCTCCTCTGACAGCCTCGTCTCTCTCTCGCCGGCCGCCCCCTCCTCCGCCGCCTGCTCCTGCGGCTGCGGCTGCGGCTGCGGCTGCGGCGGCTGCTCCGCCTCCTCCTCATGCTGCTGCTCAGCCGGCAGCGGCGCCCCCTCCTCCTTCGCCTCGGCCTCGGCCCCTCCCGCTGCCTCCTCGACCCCCTCGGCCTTGGCGACCGTCTCGTCGGCTGCTCCGGCATCGGCCGGCTCCTCTGCCTCCGTCCTGGCAGCATCGCCTCCCTCGCCTCCTGCTCCGGCTTCTCCTGCGGCTGCCGCTGCTGCCTCCGGGCTGCTGGCCTGTACCTCCCCTGCTCCCGTCCCGTCCGCCTCCTCTCCTGACTTGCCGCCCTCGCCCTCGCCCTCCTCCCCGGAGACGGCCTGCCCCGCCGCCTTGGCCTCCTTGGCCTTCCTCGCCCGCTCCCGTCCTGCCATGCCCCTCGACCGCGCCTGGATGCGTACCGCCGCCTCCTCCTCTGACAGCCTCGTCTCTCTCTCGCCGGCCGCCCCCTCCTCCGCCGCCTGCTCCGCCACCTGCTCCTGCGGCTGCGGCTGCGGCTGCGGCGGCTGCTCCGCCTCCTCCTCATGCTGCTGCTCAGCCGGCAGCGGCGCCCCCTCCTCCTTCGCCTCGGCCTCGGCCCCTCCCGCTGCCTCCTCGACCCCCTAGGCCTTGGCGACCGTCTCGTCGGCTGCTCCGGCATCGGCCGGCTCCTCTGCCTCCGTCCTGGCAGCATCGCCTCCCTCGCCTCCTGCTCCGGCTTCTCCTGCGGCTGCCGCTGCTGCCTCCGGGCTGCTGGCCTGTACCTCCCCTGCTCCCGTCCCGTCCGCCTCCTCTCCTGACTTGCCGCCCTCGCCCTCGCCCTCCTCCCCGGAGACGGCCTGCCCCGCCGCCTTGGCCTCCTTGGCCTTCCTCGCCCGCTCCCGTCCTGCCATGCCCCTCGACCGCGCCTGGATGCGTACCGCCGCCTCCTCCTCTGACAGCCTCGTCTCTCTCTCGCCGGCCGCCCCCTCCTCCGCCGCCTGCTCCTGCGGCTGCGGCTGCGGCGGCTGCTCCGCCTCCTCCTCATGCTGCTGCTCAGCCGGCAGCGGCGCCCCCTCCTCCTTCGCCTCGGCCTCGGCCCCTCCCGCTGCCTCCTCGACCCCCTCGGCCTTGGCGACCGTCTCGTCGGCTGCTCCGGCATCGGCCGGCTCCTCTGCCTCCGTCCTGGCAGCATCGCCTCCCTCGCCTCCTGCTCCGGCTTCTCCTGCGGCTGCCGCTGCTGCCTCCGGGCTGCTGGCCTGTACCTCCCCTGCTCCCGTCCCGTCCGCCTCCTCTCCTGACTTGCCGCCCTCGCCCTCGCCCTCCTCCCCGGAGACGGCCTGCCCCGCCGCCTTGGCCTCCTTGGCCTTCCTCGCCCGCTCCCGTCCTGCCATGCCCCTCGACCGCGCCTGGATGCGTACCGCCGCCTCCTCCTCTGACAGCCTCGTCTCTCTCTCGCCGGCCGCCCCCTCCTCCGCCGCCTGCTCCGCCGCCTGCTCCTGCGGCTGCGGCTGCGGCTGCGGCGGCTGCTCCGCCTCCTCCTCATGCTGCTGCTCAGCCGGCAGCGGCGCCCCCTCCTCCTTCGCCTCGGCCTCGGCCCCTCCCGCTGCCTCCTCGACCCCCTCGGCCTTGGCGACCGTCTCGTCGGCTGCTCCGGCATCGGCCGGCTCCTCTGCCTCCGTCCTGGCAGCATCGCCTCCCTCGCCTCCTGCTCCGGCTTCTCCTGCGGCTGCCGCTGCTGCCTCCGGGCTGCTGGCCTGTACCTCCCCTGCTCCCGTCCCGTCCGCCTCCTCTCCTGACTTGCCGCCCTCGCCCTCGCCCTCCTCCCCGGAGACGGCCTGCCCCGCCGCCTTGGCCTCCTTGGCCTTCCTCGCCCGCTCCCGTCCTGCCATGCCCCTCGACCGCGCCTGGATGCGTACCGCCGCCTCCTCCTCTGACAGCCTCGTCTCTCTCTCGCCGGCCGCCCCCTCCTCCGCCGCCTGCTCCGCCGCCTGCTCCTGCGGCTGCGGCTGCGGCTGCGGCGGCTGCTCCGCCTCCTCCTCATGCTGCTGCTCAGCCGGCAGCGGCGCCCCCTCCTCCTTCGCCTCGGCCTCGGCCCCTCCCGCTGCCTCCTCGACCCCCTCGGCCTTGGCGACCGTCTCGTCGGCTGCTCCGGCATCGGCCGGCTCCTCTGCCTCCGTCCTGGCAGCATCGCCTCCCTCGCCTCCTGCTCCGGCTTCTCCTGCGGCTGCCGCTGCTGCCTCCGGGCTGCTGGCCTGTACCTCCCCTGCTCCCGTCCCGTCCGCCTCCTCTCCTGACTTGCCGCCCTCGCCCTCGCCCTCCTCCCCGGAGACGGCCTGCCCCGCCGCCTTGGCCTCCTTGGCCTTCCTCGCCCGCTCCCGTCCTGCCATGCCCCTCGACCGCGCCTGGATGCGTACCGCCGCCTCCTCCTCTGACAGCCTCGTCTCTCTCTCGCCGGCCGCCCCCTCCTCCGCCGCCTGCTCCTGCGGCTGCGGCTGCGGCGGCTGCTCCGCCTCCTCCTCATGCTGCTGCTCAGCCGGCAGCGGCGCCCCCTCCTCCTTCGCCTCGGCCTCGGCCCCTCCCGCTGCCTCCTCGACCCCCTCGGCCTTGGCGACCGTCTCGTCGGCTGCTCCGGCATCGGCCGGCTCCTCTGCCTCCGTCCTGGCAGCATCGCCTCCCTCGCCTCCTGCTCCGGCTTCTCCTGCGGCTGCCGCTGCTGCCTCCGGGCTGCTGGCCTGTACCTCCCCTGCTCCCGTCCCGTCCGCCTCCTCTCCTGACTTGCCGCCCTCGCCCTCGCCCTCCTCCCCGGAGACGGCCTGCCCCGCCGCCTTGGCCTCCTTGGCCTTCCTCGCCCGCTCCCGTCCTGCCATGCCCCTCGACCGCGCCTGGATGCGTACCGCCGCCTCCTCCTCTGACAGCCTCGTCTCTCTCTCGCCGGCCGCCCCCTCCTCCGCCGCCTGCTCCTGCGGCTGCGGCTGCGGCGGCAGCTCCGCCACCTCCTAATGCTGCTGCTCAGCCAGCAGCGGCGCCCCCTCCTCCTTCGCCTCGGCCTCGGCCCCTCCCGCTGCCTCCTCGACCCCCTCGGCCTTGGCGACCGTCTCGTCGGCTGCTCCGGCATCGGCCGGCTCCTCTGCCTCCGTCCTGGCAGCATCGCCTCCCTCGCCTCCTGCTCCGGCTTCTCCTGCGGCTGCCGCTGCTGCCTCCGGGCTGCTGGCCTGTACCTCCCCTGCTCCCGTCCCGTCCGCCTCCTCTCCTGACTTGCCGCCCTCGCCCTCGCCCTCCTCCCCGGAGGCGGCCTGCCCCGCCGCCTTGGCCTCCTTGGCCTTCCTCGCCCGCTCCCGTCCTGCCATGCCCCTCGACCGCGCCTGGATGCGTACCGCCGCCTCCTCCTCTGACAGCCTCGTCTCTCTCTCGCCGGCCGCCCCCTCCTCCGCCGCCTGCTCCTGCGGCTGCGGCTGCGGCTGCGGCTGCGGCTGCGGCTGCGGCGGCTGCTCCGCCTCCTCCTCATGCTGCTGCTCAGCCGGCAGCGGCGCCCCCTCCTCCTTCGCCTCGGCCTCGGCCCCTCCCGCTGCCTCCTCGACCCCCTCGGCCTTAGCGACCGTCTCGTCGGCTGCTCCGGCATCGGCCGGCTCCTCCGACTTCGTTTGGATAGCTTGCTCATTGGATGAGGCTTTTAATCGCGCTTTTGTCACTGTCTGACTGGTATTTTCAGGATGTCTTTGTTGTTTTCCGACGGATTGCAGCTTGTTACTATCTTTAGTTTTCATTGAAGCTTTTTGAACTTCCTGTCTTGCTTTTGATTGTTTGACGTTGGAGGAATTTGTTTTTGATATCTGCTGATGTGTGGATCTTTCATCGGAATCGTCAAACATGTTTGATCCATGCTTAGCCTGTTCCACCTTATTTTCACCTGCTTCCTTGATAATCTCCAATTGTTTCGCCTGTTTGCTCTCATTGACGTGGTGTTCCAGTGATGGAAGGGTTTCTTTGTTCTTCACTGGCTTCACCGTGACTTGTTTCCTCTCCTTGACAGGCTGCGGCAAAGGGTTACTGACACTGCCCTCTGTTAATCTTTCCTGCACATCCTCATGATCTGAGGTATGAGAGTCTGACTTATGATGTCCGACACGATTGTTACTGCCATGCTCTTCATGGACCTGACTGTGATTGTGATGACCTTTCGACTCCTTGCCTGTCGTTTCTCCAGATTCCTGGGCAACATCGAAGACAGATTGAGAAACTTTGATTGGGATTTTCTTTGAGCCCGGGGACTTGCTTGATTTTTCAGACATCCACTCTCCCCATATCCTCTCCTCCTCCTCTTCCTCCTCCTCGAACTCTTGCCCTCTCCTATGTGCAATCTTTATCGCGTGATCCTCGATGTCTGACCGGTTGGACGCCAACGAGAAATCTTCTTGTGACCGCAAACGATTTGCCTTCGACCGCCTGCTCCCCCCTTCCTTCTTTCTTCTTTCTGACCTGTCTGATGCCTCGTCCTGGCGATCATTGTTGTCAGAACATAGAAAAGACTGGGCACAGCACGGATCAACAGGCAGGCAGGCATGAAGGCAGGCAGGAAAAGAACAGGAGGATCGAGCAGGAGCCAACAGGGAGCATTTGAGATCACAACCAACCTGCTGGGAAGATAGCGGGTCCAACCACAGCGTCTTGGTCTCCTGCGTTAATTTTGTATTGCCTTCCTCCTCCAGGTTCGAGTAAGACAGAATGTCAAGCCAGCGCTCCAAATAATCCTCGTCCTCCACCGGGTTCTCTACCTCGTTCCGCTGGAAACTCCTCCGTTTATCCGCTCTTCTTCCCACTCCTGTCCCTGCCCTTCCTCCATCTCCTTCTCCTATCAATGCCCTTGATCCTCTTTCTACTCCCGTTACTGGCTCTTCCCCGAAAGCTTGCAATGGAAGATAGGTTGTCTCCTCCCTCTCACTCTTGAAAAGACTGCCGGAGGATGAAGAGAGTCCTGCTCTGTCCTCCTTCGACCTCCGCGGAAACGTGGTTGACAGTTTCTGTTCAATGCTATGTAGGTGGGAACGTAGTTGGACAGAGTAGCCGCTCTGTTTGCGCGGAAGGATTTCTTCCAAGCTGCTGTCCTCAAGCTGCCTGAATGGAGTGTGGAGGTGTCGCGACCGAGGCACACCGGGAGCTGAAGCAGCTCGCACGTCGTTGTATCGCGGGTCAACCCTATGCGGGCGGACAGCACCAGCATAGATTTGATTGATCTTCCAAGCAGCCTCTCTTGCCTTGAGACTGTGATAATGATGAGGAATAAAGAATGAACGAAGGACGGAAGAGAAGAGGGGAGACCAGAAGGAGGAATATCTCTTACCTGGAGTGCCGTGTTCGGATTCGTTTTTTGTCAGCAACATCGAGCGATCTCTGAACTTGACTGGAGGACATGCCTTGATCTGCAATGCTCGACATGGCCTTTCAAACGTCAAGTCAACTGGGGCTTATCAAACTTTCCTCGTCTACCTTGGAGCTTGCGATAAGAAGAGTGAGAGCGTAGTGAGCCGGCAGGTGCTTGCGGGCAATTTCGTGCGCAGCATTGAGGAGTTTCTGATAGAAAATGAAGACCTGCGGGTTGTGCTGCGGCTGCTGGTGGTGGTGATGCGGCTGCTGCTTCACGTTCACTGGATAAAGAGACGAAAGAGGCTCCTGTACCTCCTCCTTCAGTCTCTCCTGATGCAGCAGACCCATTGTGGCAGCATTGAAGAAGCAGGCAACGGCCTCTGCAATCATACCGTCAACCTTCATTTGCAACAGAGCACAGGGAAGGGAAAGCACAGGGAAGAGGGAAGGGGAGGCGAAGGGGAGGATGGGTTTACCAGCATAGACCGAGTACAGGTGAGCTCCCTTGATGTCCAATGAGGCATCTGACCTCACCGCTCCCAGCTCATGGTCGTTGAACAAACTTTCAGATTCCTGCCACAGCATCACTCCGATCTCACTCTCAGCTCTCGGCCCACCTGCAGCCTCCTCTGCGACTTTCTCAGCGCCTCGTGTGCAAACCCCATGGCCTCCTCCCCACGATTTCTTAAGAATGAGACTATGCTCTTGTTGAGAAGCAGGCTGCTTGAGGACTCGGTGAAGATCTGAAGCAAGATGATTGACAGGTTGGAATATGGGGCACAAGACCTGTGGGCTTTCGGAGATCAGCGAGTCCAGCAAAGACTGACATTCGGCATATCGCCCGTTCCTAGCCCAACACAAGTATCAGACTGAGAAGAGACCGATGCATCCGTCCTGCACCTGCACAAGATGTACGCCTGGAGGTTCGACGATATGATCGACATGCGCATGGTTGGCTCGGAAGACCCGAATCGCTCCACGGAGAACATCTGCAGCCACAGGTCAGTTGGAGGAAGGAGCAGTCAGGAGTTGGGCACCACGAGGTTTGCACAGCTGGTCAGGAGCTCTTCCGCCGTGTCAAAGTTGCTCGTCTGGATCTGCCAGACCGACACAAGAATGTAGAGAACTTGCATGCCATGGAGGAGCGCATCGAGCTCGCCAGCCTGCAGGAGGCAGCAAGCAAGTCTTAGCGGACAAACGGAGCAGCAGGGGACAGCCTTACCTCCATCTTGTCCTCGAACGCTGCCATCCACTTCCCTTGCAACGTGTGCATCAGGAACGTAACCCCCTTCCGGGCCATGAGCTTCCCGGCCTCGCTGGTCGCAAAGAAACGGTCGTAGTCATTCACAGCCTCCTCCGCCTCTCCAACGCTCAGGTCCAGCAGAGCAGCATGCAGCGAAAGGTCGGTCCACACGAGGCGGTAGTTTTGGAAGGGAACGCAAGTCCATGGGTAGCCCTCAACACTGGACGACTTCCAAAACAGATACACAACCCGTTTATAGTCAGAGAAGGGTCTTCTTCCCTCTAGTATGGAGAGCAGCATCTCTGGGCATTTCCCGCTATCAGTAGAGTGCGCTTGCTCCTTCCTCCTCTCTGCCTTGGTAAAAGCGAACTCTTGCTTTGCCATCTGTCAGATTCCTAGGGAAATCGAACTATTGCGCGATTGTTCGCAACGATGTTTGCATAGCCAACCACAACTCTGTAACTGATAACACCGTAAGATCAACTGACATATCAAAGTGCCACCCCATCATTCGCAGGACGAGAAGGCAGACCTCCGATGCATGCACCCTCCATCACAGAGCCACAACATTCCTCTGTCAAGATTTGATTTTCCCTTGAAGCAATTCTTCGATCCTGAGGAGATGAACCAGTGGTCAGCTCCCATTTAACATTCTAAATCCTCAGCTTCTGTTCTTGTCCTCTCATGCCTATCAATCAACTCAAAGCTCACCATTCAAACCTATACACCCCATGGTCAACTTCGCCTCCTCTCCCCTGCTCACATTTCTCCAACCCTGCACGCTTCTGTCCATCTGCAGATTGGGAAATCTCTCAGAGTCAGTCCCAAGTCTCAGAGCTCTGTCCTGTTTCCTCCTAATCTTTTCCACACTGCCTCTCGCTCCCACACCCTCAAGTGTGCGGCCGTTTTCCCCATTATAGTCTTCACTTCACTCCTCGTGTATGCTGACCCACTCCTCTCCCACCTACCTCAATGGTGTCTTTGTTCTCTTCTCATCTTGACCCTCCTCGTGCATCTCCTGCTCCCTCTCCTGCCCCTCCTCCTTTCCTCCCCTTCCACAATCCTCCGCATCACCCGCAATCATTTCATTAGTTCCAACCGCTTGCTCGAAGGGGGGTTGGTGTAGGGCAGGCAAATATGGAGTAGGGGTACATATGAATTTGTACCGGTGTAGAGACTTTTAAATATTATGAAAAGTAGGGGTCATTGTGAAAAAGTGGATCGAAAGAGGGGGTGGGGTGTTGAAGGAATGGGGTACGACTCATAGGTGGTATGAAGGAGGGATGAATTGGAAATGAGTGAAACCTGGGGAGATGGAGGGAGAACAGGAAAAGGAGCAGGAGGGGCAGGAGCAGGAGGAGCAGGAGGAGCAGGAGGAGCAGGAGGAGCAGGAGCAGGAGGGGCAGGAGGGGCAGGAGCAGGAGGAGCAGGAGGAGCAGGAGGAGCAGGAGCAGGAGGGGCAGGAAGGGCAGGTGGGGCAGGAGGGTCATGAGAGGCAAGAGGGGCAGCAGGACTGCAGACGTATGGATACTGCAGCAGGAGGAGAGAGGAGGAGAGGAGGGGGGAGACAAGACGCACGAAGGTAGCGAGCATGGAAGAGAGCAGGCTTAAGGCGAGGAGCACATGAGAGACGAGTGGTCAGTCCCAGTGCTACGATGCAGTGAAGGGCCAATCACTACTAGATCGCAGCCTTTGAATTTTTTGCCATACCACCACTTACTCGAGTGCCGGGCACACTCACGCATCACAGGTTGGAATTTCCTCGTGAAAGTTTTCAGTTCGGGTCGTGCATCCCAGATTCAAGAAGCTGTGCCATAACAACTTTGACGGAACCAAACGACCGGACCACTCAGGATTGGGCTCGTTGCTATCCCGCTTGCATGCGATGATTGTGGGTTCAATACAATTCTTTACTATCTTGCTCTTTTAAGAACAATTCAACTTTACATAAGCTAATTTTGTCTAAAACGCTGCTCTACAATGAAGCAGAGGCACAGCGCAACTTTACACACAAGTCCATTCAGTCGAGCAGTGGAGATGTCTAGCAAAGGAATGATTATAAACGAACAAGGCAATCCCAGACTGGGAAAGCTTGATCGCCAAGCATTGGAATTGCATCTTCACACTTTTCAAATCATCTTTACATCCTGGCAGCGACGAACAATCCCACAATCGATGAAAGAAAAACCATCACAAAGGAAACACTGGCAGACGACGAGGCTCTTGCAACGCAGTTCAAGTCTCCGCACTGTTGACTCTCCCTCATTTTTTGAATGTATGCATCAAGCGTCTTCGTCTCAATCTTGCAGTTGTCCTTGGCTACTGACTTGTAGTAGCCACAGCAGGTCAAAGGCTGTTGAAACCCTGGCATCATACACTGTTCATCCATTGTGCAACCACGGTTGGACGGAAACATGGCAGTGCAGTAGTCCGAGCATTTGCTAGCATCTCCAGTCTGATGACGATGTCAGTTCTTTCAACAGAAGGCGCATGTCACTCACCCCGCCGTACATTACGCATGCTTTGTCTATCAAGTCTTTGCATTCAGCGTCACTCTGAGGAGGGGTCGGATCTTGATACTTTGTTAGCATTGCTGTAAGCTTGGCTTGTGCGTCGTCTAGAGACGTGCAACTTCCGTACTTGTAGGTCCTCTTGGGGCACCCTCCTACAAACAGAAGTCATGAGCATGTGCGGCAAGAGCGCGTATGCTGCATACCTATCTTCACATCCTTCTTCTCGGCGATGTTGCATACACCCGCAGCTACTGCGATCGTCGCCATCACCAGCACGCCTCTCAACATTGTTGCGGTTGCTTCTGTTCTCCGCCGCTCCTGCAGGGTTGCAATTTGAAAAGCCTCACCACCACCCTACCACCCCTACCCCCTGATCAGTTATGAAGCACCCGACCCCACCCACATCTCAAACGTCACCCGACTTCCTCTACATTCACAGTCACATCCACTACCCTTCCCAAAAAGCGTAAAAGGCAGGAACTTAGTGGGTAGGGGTGACATTGACTTGCAGACAACCTACCCCTTGCAATGTATGTGAAAGTGCCCCACCGGTTCTTCTACACCGATCTTCTCATGGCCACCACCCTCAGATATCCATCAAAGTACCCCCCGTCGGTATGTCTGCTAGTAGGCTACTCCAAAGTTCACACTCTACCCCCACCACCCCCACCACCCCCTATTTTCTCTTCAGCAAGCACCCCCTGTCATCACCAGTCATCACTCTGCAGCATGACAAGTGCCTGACTGTGTCACGGCCAATCATCACCCGTCCCATCGAGTAGTTTTTTTCCCCAACTCAGAGTTGAAAGTTGTGATCGGACCGTCAGGCTCACTTCCGGCCCCGTGGCCGGGCCCGGGCCGCACGGAGGCTGCCGCGCAGTGCGGTCACCGGTGCGGCACTCCGCACTAAGTTTGGGGGGCAGCAGTCGGCAGGATTAGGTTTGGTTCTCGCTGTCTTTTCTCTTCTCGCCGTTTGGCCTGTGCGACAGTGTCAGGGTCAAGCCTCCTCGTCACCGTAGGCTGCGGCTTGGCTCAGACATGCGGCCAGGCAGCCAGACTGTGACAGTGTGCGCTGTGCGCGGCCCGCGGCCGCCGTGCTTGAGTCAGCTTCACTGTCAGGCTGCGGCAGTGCCAGGCGGGGCCCGGCTCAGCGCCGGCGCTGCGCGGCGAGTCAGCCAGCCTGGCACCGTCCTGTACCGGGGGGGGTCACTGCTGTCCATTCCATGGCATTTTCTAATGCTCGCTTTGAAGGCTTTTGATCATTTTCGAGCGGGGTACCTTAGCCCAGGATTTTTGAATGGTCGGCGCACTGAAAATTTGTACCAGAAACTTCGATAATGGTTGAAAGTATGTTTGATTCGGGGACCGTGTCACCAACAGTGTCATAGCGCGAGGTGGCCCAATGTCTGATTTTCTTACAAAATGACTTGTGCTTTTGCCGATGATTCTTTGCTTGACTTCGAAGCTTTTGCGCGTCTATGTGCAGCTGGAATTTATCATGATGCATTTTAGCATCTGCTCCATGTCGAAACGAGGTGAAGTAATGATGGAAACAATTTTTGAAGCCCTCTGCATTCTGTCCAAAGAGGTCACCTAGAAGCGTAAACTTTGCTCGTACATGAGAAGTGTTGATGGTATGCTGGCTCAGCTTGAGATAACTAGCCGCTACTTGTAGCAAGCTATCATCGGTGTCGCTTATCTTCAACGTTTCGTGCCCAATGTTTTGCAGAAAATGTAACAATTTCAGCACCATTGCGTCAGTGAACACTGCATAATTCTGTACAGTTTTCAAGTCGATGTCTTTGAAAGCCCGTCGACAATATGAACAGGCTTTGATGCAGTGTCGAATGCTTTCCAGAATTACGAAGATATGTTTCCAGAGTTACGAAGCGTAGTGTTGAGCCAGAGATCGGACAGTGACAGGAGAATCAGGGTGAAGAAAGAGAGATGACTAGAATGTGTATTAGCAATAAAAGTCATAGTAATTCTAGGTTCAAACATGTTTACTGAAGTATGATTGCTTCAACAGATTCAATTCCAGGTACTCAGCACCACTGAAATATTGAAATGATGGGAGTGTCCAATTAGATAAGCTCAACACCCATCACCCTGATAGATCTTCGCTCCTTTCCTTTCGCAAAACCATATTGCTCAAGAGATCCTTGACCAAGGACCTTCGAAACTTTGAAACACTCTAGATCCTTACGGAGCACGATGAAACAAATTTCTATTCGTTGAACCGGAAATCCTACTAAAACAAGATTGTCAATGAGTTCCTTGAAATATTGTAGTTTCAGATCATGATCTTTTGCTGCGGTTACTTGTACAAACCGTACTAATTTCCTGCTTCTACTAAGAAACACCCCATCATATCCTGGATGGTTGAAATCAGGTGGTCGCACCCAAAAGTCGCAGCTCTGACTCTCCACCACTCCTTTCGTAAGAGGTATCAAGCAAGTCACGACAGGGGCAGCCTGCCAAGCTTCTTGCGCGTCTTCACCTCGCACGTGCAATGCCAAACCTTGGTGATGTACCACCATGAAGAACAAATCTTCAAGCATGAGTCCTTTGGCAACTGGATGATGCATTGTGCAGAAATGCACCAAAGACCGTGTAAATTGTTCACACCCTGTTTGAACGCAAATCTTCTCTGTAAGATACCTGCTTAAGAATACAGTATATTCTGACTTGTCTTGATCCTTGTATATCGAAAAGAGTCGATTGATTGCAGCCCCACTGTACTGCCCTATCTTTGTGGAGAGAGTTTCAAGAAATCCCACGTTTTTGACAGTGTTAGAAACGTCGTCGATAATCTGTTGACTACTCATCTGAAACATGTATCTTGATGATCCTCCTGCATAATAATACTTGGACAGTATTCGATCTTCTCGGCTCAGATTGCTCGAAAATGACCGTTGAGCAACCGATCCTCGAGACAAGTTTGCATCTAATTTCCTTTCAACAGAAGAGTAGAACAGGTCGTCCATCACTGCCTCTTGATACTCTTCCAGTCTCCATGACTCAAGGAGAAATACCTCCACGCCCCAAACCTGATCATCTTCCCACTTCACCTTGTACCTGGTCTGCATCGATGAAATAAAGAGCACTCTTCTATTCTCTTTCTTTTTTTCACGCCATCGCATCAACATATGCTGCAACATTTTGTGCGAGTCTTGCAGGAAACCATCCAGTACGAATACATGCTGAGAATCATCATCCACACCATTCAGAAGAGCATACAGAAAGTCATCATTTGTCGTCTGCAATTCAGCTTCATATACAGTTTTCCTTGCAGCGATCCACTGAACAGCCTTTGCAGGATAAGGAGAGATATGCATCCAACTCACCCCCCAGACCTCCCTGTCAATGGAGAGTGCGAATGCAAGGCCTGTAAGAGACTTTCCCGTCCCTGGTGCCCCCAACACCCAGCCCAAACTTCCTGCTTGCATGACTCTTTTTTGCATGAAGTCCATCTGCTCCCGAAGTCCCTTTCTGCTGAAAATTCTCATGCCCTTCTCCTTTACATCCTCGTCCTCAAATGCTCGTAACCCAGACTCCTTCCCACTGTCTGCCGATATATCCAAAAACAACTTCGTTTCATCGTACACAAAACGATCCTCCATTGCATCAATCACGGAAGTCGACTTCATTATTTCTCCTGTCTGTAAGCGACCTCCAGCCATATAATTGTGAATCAAGAATTTCTGCTCGAGCTCCTTCTTCTCCACTTTGAGCTCGCGCTCCTTGGTCTCAACCGCATTCTTCAGCTCGAGCTCCTTCGTCTCAAGTTGTGTAGTCAGCCTTCGCTTCTGCTCCTGGTCTTTGCAGCTCTCGATCTTCTGCTCGAGCTCCTTCTTCTCAACCGCATACTTCTGCTCGCGCTCCTTCTTCTCAACCGCATACTTCTGCTCGAGCTCCTTCTTCTCAACCGCATACTTCTGCTCGAGCTCCTTCTTCTCAAGTTGTGTAGTCAGCCTTCGCTTCTGCTCCTGGTCTTCGCAGCTCTCGATCTTCTGCTCGAGCTCCTTCTTCTCAACCGCATACTTCTGCTCGAGCTCCTTCTTCTCAACCGCATACTTCTGCTCGAGCTCCTTCTTCTCAACCGCATTCTTCAGCTCGAGCTCCTTCTTCTCAAGTTGTGTAGTCAGCCTTCGCTTCTGCTCCTGGTTTTCGCAGCTCTCGATCTTCTGCTCGAGCTCCTTCTTCTCAACCGCATACTTCTGCTCGCGCTCCTTCTTCTCAACCGCATACTTCTGCTCGAGCTCCTTCTTCTCAACCGCATACTTCTGCTCGAGCTCCTTCTTCTCAAGTTGTGTAGTCAGCCATTGCTTCTGCTCCTGGTTTTCGCAGCTCTCGATCTTCTGCTCGAGCTCCTTCTTCTCAACCGCATACTTCTGCTCGAGCTCCTTCTTCTCAACCGCATTCTTCAGCTCGAGCTCCTTCTTCTCAAGTTGTGTAGTCAGCCATTGCTTCTGCTCCTGGTTTTCGCAGCTCTCGATCTTCTGCTCGAGCTCCTTCTTCTCAACCGCATACTTCTGCTCGAGCTCCTTCTTCTCAACCGCATTCTTCAGCTCGAGCTCCTTCTTCTCAAGTTGTGTAGTAAGCCATTGCATCTGCTCCTTGCCTTTGCAGCTCTTGATCATATCATGAGTTTGTGAGACAGACTCGAGCAGCAAGCTCACTAAGTCTCTCTTGCTGTCGTCTGGATCCTCGGTCCTTCGGCGCTTCGGCATGTTTTGGAACCAACTCCCAACTCTATTATTTTTTAAAGCTTTTTATTGACTGAAAAGAAAAGGCAAACCGGAGCAAACAAAGGAGGACGATGATAAAGCCTACAAACCCGCCTCAATATAATACTAGGAAATGAAAAAAGGCAGCGAAAGCCGCTACTCCAACCACGCAAAAAAAAGGGGGGCAGTCCTCGGGAAAAAACTGTGACAAACTTTTATGGGGTGTTGACTGAACCCGTCTGTACTGAGGCTTTGGTTCTCATGATGATTTATTAGTGTGACCAGGCCGGGCCCTGACTTCAACTTTCACTAGTAACTATCAATCACTCATCGACGGTTACTATGATCGCCCGGCGGGCCCGGCCCCCGTACGGTCGGCGGACAGTCCGATCCGAGGCCGCCGGGCCCGCGGCGGCGACTCGTGACTCCGGGCGGCGGGCCCGGCCGCCCGGCGGCCCGGGCGCCGGACTCTCAAGGTGACGGTGTGACACACAGGATCTCCGACCTTACTGGCACTGTGACGCCGCGGACCGTGTGAGGAATCCGAGTCCGCCGGGC